AGAAAGTAACTTCTCTATTTTCTCGACGTACATTTGTTAGATTGCATATAAAAGAAAAATTAATTACTATATAAATACGAGTTCATAATACATATATCTCAATATCACTTGAATATAAAAGTAATTAGTGACCAAATATGAGTATGAACGAGTAAATTCGGTAATTATTTTATAATGGCTAATTTGAAGATAAAAACAAGAATACACGTTAAATTCGGTAGCACCGGAGCTAAATACCCTTCGCTAATAAAATAGTTTTCCGTACGATAACTTGATTTTGATTGGTACGAAACTTATGAGTCCAATTTGAATAATTTATTTAGCGTTACCTTGGAAAATATTCTGTGCCAAATTTCGTAAAGCTTTCTTGCCAATAGTTGACTTTTTGACTGAAACTCTATTTTTAATATATATTTATATTATATATAATTTTGCGCTAATTATTTTCGGAAGGGTGGAAACAAACACTTTCAAACTTTACAGAAACAATCTGAAAATTTTGTACAAAATCGGTTTTGGGAGCTTCTATAATAGGAAGCATGTATAATACATGTTGCTTCAGAGTATAATGGTTTTGTTCACCCCACGGTTGTTTGTAATACCTATGTAAACTAATCAAGATAGTTCTAGAGTTATATTTATATAAATGATTAGGATGGGGAGTTGAGTTGAATTTCGGATGACTATCTGTCCTATCAGGTTTAATGTACATATTTCACAAATTATATGGGTTATATCGACCAAACTTGCTAAGGAGAAGTTCTTTTGACCTCTCATTATACAGTTTGAAAATGGTTGAAATCGGAAGATAACCCACTGTTTAACATTACTTATGTCACTGTGTAAACATGGACGAAATTGGGCAACAACAACGCGTACTTCCGTCTATCCTATATATAAAAATTTTAAATTCCATGTGATTCTTCTACTTTACAGTATATAAATTGAGAGTCAATGGTATTATAGAAATAAAACTTTGCTCACAAATTGTATTTAAAGTGTGTGATTTCACGTCTGAAAATAGTCGAAATAAGACCATAACTTATTAAGTCTCCAAGTATAAGTGTGGACCTCAATATTATTGTCGAACGAAAGTTGTCAAAGTTATATAGAGGAAGGTAAGGTGGAAACATTTAGGCATTTTCTCCTCCATTATCCAGCCTTAGCAAGACTGAGGTTGAAACATTAAGACTTCCTTCGGCAAAGCAAGAGACATAAACGAAACTCGTTTTTTTTTATCGAAAATATCGATCAATATGTAAGGCATCTAATAAAAGCCAGAGAGTATATTTTCCTGAAAATAATATATCGTAAGGCCGAAAATCAATAGCATTGGTTCAATACTTCACTTAGCCTCCGTACACCGACAGAAAGATTTTCGAACTATCTTAAAGAAATTTAGGAAGCGTCGGCCTCTAATAACAGAGTATTCTTGTGCCTAAAATAGATAAATTTAGGCCAATAATAACCACTGTCCCTATATACCTAATATACGAATTTCAAACTACCGGTGGAATTAATAGCATACGAACATAGGTATATCTGTCAATAAGTAAAATGTCTTAACAAAATTACTGGATAAAGTAGAACTTCATTCTGAAAATATGTGTGTCGTCTTATAATGAAATTAAGTAGATTTCTGAAATAAAATGTGATTTAGTGTTGAATACGAATTAAATTGGTCTGGACCTTGATCTAAACCTCATATCTTTCTAGTTGGAACCAAAGGTCACGAAAAAGTCATTAATCGTGGCTCTATATCGTTCTCCATTTACTGTAAAATTATGGCCGGCTTCATTTTTGAAAAAGTATGGAATCACTGGTCCACTCTGCCCAAACAGTGACTTTTTGAGAAAGTAACGGCATGTCAACAATGGGTTGTGGATTGTCATCACTCCATTTGCGAAAAATTTGTTTATTAACGTACCCATTCAACCAAAAGTGAGCTTCGTCGCTGAGCAAAATTTTTTTGTGAAATGGGGATCGGTAGCTGTCTCGCTTTGGCCCATTCACCGAACGTGCGACGCGCTTAATGGTCGCTCGGCTTCAATTCTTGCACGAGTTGAATTTTATAAGCCCGCAAAGCAAGATCCTTCCGCAAAATCTTCCATAAAGTGGTTGGGCACAGCTCCAACTCATTCGGATCTTCTTCGACATCGAAATAACATTGACAGCCGCAGACTAATTCTGAAAATAGCATTGCCGCATTGAAAACCACACGTCTAAATAAACACTCTTTATATATATACACTGTATGTATTGACATACTTGTATGTATCGACTTATAACACACATATTTATAGTGATAAAGCGTTAATCATTGAATGACGCATTATATTATGGTCAAAGTGAATCGTCGATTCAACCGCCTGAAAAGAAGAATTTGTGCTTTGCCATTTTGTCATATTAGCACAACGGAATCTTTTTGCCCCTTCACTTAAATGAATTTATCATTATTTAACATTTACAATGGATGACGTGATTTGCATATCTGAAACGTATGAAATTGTTTGTGGTTTAATACTCGCATGCATACATTCACACATACATTCACACATACGTTTGCATGTCAGTGCTTGAAACTTTGGCCCGGCGGAGATTTGGTGCCAAGTTGACGGCGTTATGCCCCTTTGCGGTGGACTGTAAAAATCGGGAAGGTTTAAACAAATAAAATATAATTCCCTAAATCAGAATTTGCATTTCAACAAAACAAAGTAAATACTCGTATATGTGTATATGAGGTACACATGTGCAAATACATATAAATTACATCAGCAGACATTGATATCAAAATAAAACAGTATATAAAATCTCCCTGGTCAGCGGCAACTATCTTCCAATACTTGAAAATCGGTCATATATATCTTTAGATTTCATAAACTTATATTTCCTTAAATGGCCAATTTGTGAGATATTTCAAAAAATCAGGTAAATATATTATGTGAGTATGTGAGTTATCTTATATTAATTTCCCTAAAAATAGATAATACCAGGTCATATCGTCCTCTAGATCACATTTCAAAAACAATTGAACGAACTATTTGGCAGCCTTGTCAGGTATATATCGGTCAGTCCACGTCCTAGCTAATATTAACAGGCCGACTTTAAGTATCTCGAACAATAAGTATTGCAATCACAGATTTCACAAATGTCTAAACGTATCGAAATATTTCATAGGGTGTAAAAATTTGGCTACGTCAGAAAGTCGCTCTTCCCTACATATTACATTTTATACTCTTGCAACATGTTGCTACAAAGTATAATAGTTTTGTGCATCTAACGGTTGCTTGTATCACTAATATAACTAATTAATTAATAGATATATATAAAGGGTTATATATATAAACCTGATCAGGATGACGAGACAAGCTGAGGACTGTTAACTCGGCAGAATTCTACCGCTACAACAATAACAACAACGAGACGAAAACCTATAAAAGGACCTAACTAAAACTAAATTAAGATATAAACCTGTAATTGGGTACAGGGAATTGCATTGGCGAGGCGCACCTTTGGTTGAAAAAAAGAGTGGGCGTGTCATCGCCTCGTAATAAGTTTAATGTATATATTTCCTAAACCTTTCGAGCAATGATCCACGTTTGCACAGAATAAATATTTTTGAATCTTCCTTCGATAGTCTGAAAATTGAGGAAATCTGATAATAACCCCGCCCACTCTCCATATAATGGTTTTGTTAAAAACTACTAAAAGTGCAATAAATCAAAAAATAAATGCGTCAGAGACTTTAAATTTTACAACTGGGATGGTACTTTGCGGTTTTATAGGAGTCGATATCAAAATTGGTCGGTGGGCGTGGCACCGCGCACATTTAGGTGAAATTACATATAGCACAATTTTAAATTCCATATGATTGTTTCACTTTCCAGTAGACAAGTTAAAAACTAATCAATGTATCCGGATAAAACTTTGCACAAATAGTGACTTTGAGGTCTACCATCTCATCAATTGTCAAAATCGGACCATAACTGTTCAAGCTCTCAGTTACCGAAACTGGTTGCCTGGTGCAAACTTTTTACTGGTCTGTTTCTGATAACAGTACTTTAACTGAACGTATAATATTGGTTATATAATAGTTTAATGCCGAAAATATGTGAATTTATAAAATTGTTTCAAAATATGATCTAAAGTATACCCAGCAATGTCAAAATTAATTCAATCAGCTCATCCCTTTCACTGTCCCCAATATAGCTTATATAAAATTTTCTACCTGACAAAATGTGTGATACTTTAATAAAATTAAATGAACACAATTTCTTAAAAATTGTTTGAGAATATGAATGAAATTGGTCTAGACCTAGACCTTATATCCCTAAAATATTGATTTGCGATCCTCTGGTTCACGTTTTAAGATCAACGTATTATATTAAATTTAGCTTCTTCAGTTGAGTTTATATTCCACATATCTCATTTAAAGATGAGTTTAATACAATTTTCGTTGACGCGAAATAAAATATAGTAATAAAACTAAGTGAGTCTGTGACCTATAGTATAATTTAATAAAATACCAAATCGTATTGTAATCTATTTACGATTTCGTCGAATAATAAATGTTGAATTGTTTCGCTACATTTTTTTTTATACAAAGTTTTCCTAACACCTTAAGGTATTTTCCCTGCTTTGATCCTTTCAAGTTGCAAGAGCATAAAATGTTCGGTTACAGCCGAACTTAGCCCTACGTTAATTTATGTATTTGTTTTTGTAAATATTTACCCATAAGGTGTTGTTGCGTTCCATTTTATCACACATATGTTTGCATGTTTGTGAATGAATAGACCTTATGACATTACTTGACTAACTGACCATACCACTGTCGATCCATTAACCCTTAGTTGAACACTACGGCAGCTGTTTCACTGGCCTCGGTGGAGATACTGTTGACTGTGAATAGCCAACTGGAAAAGAACTGAAGTAGTGAGATGAAATTCCAATTGAAAACTACCGTTGTATCTAGAAGAGATAAAAAGAACAATAAACACAATGCGCTGATTCGTCTTTTGTTGTAATCATCCACGTAATATATTCAACCTGTGATCGCTAAATGTCAAATTTGCATGCAACTTCATAATACTACACACATACTAAAATGTGTATATTAAAATTATAAAATGAAAGATAATATGTGTCGATTTTCTTTTTCTGCCTTTTCCAAAAGTGTTAAATTTAATTTTTTTTAAACATCGGTGTGATAAAAAGCGTGACTGTTTACAAACTTATTTATATAAAAACAGGTAACATGGCTATCTTGTAATCTGCGATTATATTGAAAATGGCTGTCATTCAGAGAAAAATTGTTTAATGGTTATTAGGCGAAGTTATGGAAGCTTTCTGACCATTCTTTGTATCAAATTACCATATATGATTGTTACTTACCCAGTTTAATACACACGTCTTACATAAGCCCGATATCAATGATAAAGTTATAAGCGAATATGAGAACGTAGCAGCATATAAGGCTGACAGATCTAATTAGTTGTCATTTAATCTAGCTATACTAAGGGAAAAATTTAATTCTGATGCATAATTTGATATATCCGATAAATGGCAACTAGAAAAGATATGGACCGTTGTTTACATTTTTTAAGTTATTAAGATTAGTATTTCCATTAATATATATGAAACATTTATGACGTTTAAGTTCTTATTGGTAAAAAAATTTACCGTTCAATGTTTATGTAACATTTTGTCAAAAGTTTAATTTTGCCTTCCGAGATAACAGTCTTGTGGATAATATTTGTGTATTAGTGTAATTTGTAATAAAAATGTTACAGTCCAAATGAAATAACAAATTTTAGAATTTCCAATTTTAATAGCAGTTATTAGGCGCATTCAATGCAAGTACATCCGTGCCAAGTATATATAATAAATATAATATATGTATATATAAAGGTCCGATAGAACTCAGTCGAAAGTCAAAGTCAAAACGAACTGTCTAACCTAGTTTTTAAGCGTTTCATATAGCGTCTGTGGTAAACAAAAAATTGGCTACCGTATCGGGTGCTTTTAACGGTTTTTAAATTGCAATTCATTATGCAATTTGTTGGTGCGACTGTCATCGCAGAAACTGGAGCACGCGACATTTAGGTACATATTTATTTATGCATGTATATACATATGTACTGTTTGTACACGTCCCATCAGAAAAGACTTTTTATCTTTTAATCGACATTATATTTTCGAAAATTTTGATAAATTTAGTCGATATGAATCAGTATTTTTTTTATCACGTAAAAATTAAGTTATCATTTACATTTGATTTTGTTCGTATGTGGAACCTTAACTAAATGAAAATGAAAACATACATACATCTATTAGAAACCATATAGAAAATATATAATGTAAAGTCTAATGATTTTTTTAAAGTAGATGCCTTTATGTTTAACATGTTCAAAATAGTTCGGCTGCTATGTACTATTTGGATCTATATGTAATTAATTAATTATAATTGTGTTGCCTCGGGGGGTATATGAATATTTGTATATGAGAACGTCCAAGCGATCGTGAGAAATTTACATTTTCATCAAAACGCGTTGCACGTGATGTACCGTTGGGTGTGCGCGCGCAAAATGTGCTGCATGGATGACAAGGTGGTGAATCGTCGTTGTTCAGTAATAGGAGATTTGTGCTGCAACTTACCGGTGGACAATGTCTCATTACACAGTGATATGTATGTGCATACGTACGTACTTACTACTTATATGGGCGATCCGAGCGCATCGAAAGCGGCGCGCTGTAATTGGCGATGCATTTTTTTACAGCTGATGTTAACAGTTCTGCGCAAATTAGCTAGAATACATATATACTCTCGATTCAACACTGTGCTAAGTCTGCATAGGTATTCATATTCCCGTTGTTAACCGCTTTTCTGTTGCCAGTTTGTTGTATGCTTCATCTCATAATATCAAACACTTAACACACGGCCAAACATTAAATGTAATGATCGCACATTAGTGTCATAATTAATCAGTTATATTTAGCCTTTATTGTCTAAAAATATTATGACATAAAATTGCAGATGGCTTTATTTAAATGTAGCATTTATTTATTTCGTATTTGTAGCGCGTAAATGTTTTGTATGTCCGAGGAGTGCCTACAAATGAACTAGATGTATAAAGTTATTATACACTTGTATTTAGGGGTGCCTCTCTAGAGATGAATAAGCCTAGACTAGTGAATTGCCATACTATTCCACTTTCCCAGTGATTTCCGTGGACTAAATTAGGGCTAATGTGATTGCGAATTAAGAAGCTATTTCCATAATTTATTGGAAAAATTTGGAAATATCATCTGATCTATACTTATGTTATTGTTTTTAAATTACAATAAAACCGTCCTACCGATTTAGACGATTACTTCCTAACTTGCTAATAGTCATAGACAATAGCCTCATTTACTCTCCCTACTTCGCGGAAGTTCTTATTATTTTTCTCAACGAGCTACGACAAAGCATATCTAACCTCAGAGAATCCAATATAAGAAATATATTTAAATATTTATTTTGATTGCTAGAAGATAATCATCATAATCGATGATGGTCTTTTATGAATTAAGTGGTCTTAAAAAATGCAATTATATTTTATTTAAAGGAATCGTCTAAGGCTCAAACTTTTATAACGATTGGGTAAACAATAGGCAATGATTGAAGTTATTTTATGACATTTGATATTTGTAAGCTAAGAAAAATTAGATGAAAAAATTTACTTAAAATCTGATACACACATACAGTTATTATTCCACTAAAGTTAAGCAAACTTGTTAATAACAGAGCGAGTTTTCTCACGGGGTATTTTCGAATGGTTACACCAAAAGTAAATGTATGTGATCTGTGATGCATGTGTGTGTCTATTGTTTGTATGCCAACTTGTTTGCGATCTATAGACCAGACCTGATAGCGTTGGTAGCTAGACCTGGCAGATTGTGTGCGGCTAGGACGGCGGTTTCGGTTAGTGAGTGCCGGTTCCGCAACTGAGTATCTTGTGGCGCGAAACATTCAGTTTGCATTAAGCCAGAGAGCCGGTTGGACGCGTTTGTTAGTTTCTACGAGCCTTCAGTGTACGTGTACGTTAGCATTACTTTTGTTTTTATTTGGCTTTTATGTATATTCGGCTGTCTATTTAAGTGTTCGCATGTTTGTTAGCTCATGAACGTCGTAGTTTTAGGTGTGTGTGATCTCCAGCTGTCTACTGGTGCAATCCGCCTTGTATGCCCGAGCGTGTTCCTTGTATTTCTTATTCGGATACAATTTAGTGAAAACTAAAACATTGAATACAATACTCAATTCGCCTAGTATTTTGTAATATCCGCAAAGTCTTAGTTTGAATTTATAATAACCACGCACAACTCATCTATTATACGGGTCTCTATATTATACTGTTTGAATATTGAATTGCATATTTATAGAAATATGTATGTGTGTGTATGTGCTTATTAAATATTGACGTAATTCGGTAGAGGCTTGCGAGTAGTTTCGGTAGTTTCAATGAATGTCCAGTGAAGCTAAAAGTGATGAATTCAAAGTGTAATTACAGTTTATTTCTAAAATTTGTGATAATTTCGAGGTTGCACCACTGCGGTACACAAAATGATAAAAGCCCTGTGAACAGTTAACGGCTGCGTGCGCTGTGAAAATATACACATACGCTCGCGAATATGCGGTTTAGTTTAGCAAAGCTCTCGTTCACATATTTGTAAAATACATTTCCATATTTTCTTCTTTAAAATTAGTAATTTCTCAATGATTTTTAAAAAGGGATTTCTGGTTGCAGCGTTTATAATTTCCAACTATAAAATGATCGACAATAGAGTTTGGAGAGCTTTAAGTCGTGCCTGCTTCATTGGAATCGTGATATCATCATGTGGACTGGCTCAAGCAAAAGGTGAGCAATCAAATAGACTCGAAGTAGCTTTAGATGCGTTTATGGTGGAACTTGTTTTCGGTTTTTACTGCTTTCTTCATTTAAGTGTGGCGCGGTTATCATTATTTGCTCGATTTTGGAGCGCACGTAAAAAAATTTGTATCGGTGAAGGAGTTTCGCTGGCAAATAGTTTGGGTATATTCTTAATCGCCGAACAAATAGTGCATTTAATTTTTAAAAATTTCGTGATGTCTTTAGATAAAATATACATACACGAAAAAAATTCCAATACATGTGTATATTACTGAAATACTATATTAGAAATAATATTTAAGCTTTAAAAAAGAAATGTGAGGCATGGTTATAGATAACGCGACTGCTATGGATATCAATTTTATCCACCTAATTTATAATTGAAAAAATTAAAAAAGTGCAACACCAGTAGTTGTAATCCTTATTAAAAGAATGAACAATATATTTGGACTGTTTTTTTAGATATGCTTTTTTGGAGGTATTATATAGATAAGGTAGAAAGATACATAACCAAACATATATGTTTTTTATATAAATTTCCAAATCTTATTAAGAATATAACCTTTTTACAGAAGTAAATTATGCAATTATAATTAATACAGTTTAACGATTCCGTACGACATTGATATTAATGTTTTTTTTGCTCAATTTCATAGTAATTTAATTTTTTAACATTTTATATGTGTCCAAATGCCCAGAAACCAAAATTTCAAATAATTAAAAAGGATGGAGCGGTAACAATTTTCAAAACCCCATACAACCACTCCCTTGCACTACACCAATTTTAATTTCGTATTTCATTTTCAAATAAATCTAGAATTTGCTCGTGAGAGCATGAGAAATGTGCGACATTGTCCGAATTGCAATGCCACTTCAACAACTGCATATATTCACACAAAACTTAGGGTGGAGTTGGCAGACGTAAAACTTGTTTCGCAGTCTACACACTACGCAAAGTCTTGTTACTTGAAAATTACTCGCTGGAAACTCGTAGATCTACTAATACGCTTACCGCACATTCAAATCCTTATATGGAAACTCTTATTAATAATGTTCATGTGCACACCATATACTCACACACCCTTCTATACACATATATATGCATGGTGTGTGCGCTATACTCACATAAAATATATACATATATGTGTATATCTGCGATATCTGTATGCATTTGTACATTTGTGTTATTGTTGTTACACACTCCAACGCCACATGATGTCATAACTCAAAACGCAAAAACAGAAGAAGTGAAAAAGCATTAAAGTTGTCTGAAAAACTTGACCTCGTTATTTTCCTGACTCTCTGTCGCTGGCTTAATTTGTTTAGTGGAATCGATATTCCGCATTCAGGCACCATACAGATAATTTACAAGCAACGCAATTTGGGTTGACAACGACGACCGTAAGAACATTGACGAGCTGAAAATTTCCTTGTGGGCGCAGCGAATCGGTAACATTACACTCCATTCAATTACACAAATTATTTATATATACATACATACACATGTAAACATATCGTATGTATATATTCATGTGTCTGTCATTCAAGTTGCCAGCGAGCAATGCAAACTAAACAAATGATTTACGCGACGAACCTGACTGAAAAAGAACACCGACTAAACATCAACATACAGCGTAACAAGGCCTTGAGAGTGCTATATTTATACATATTCACTTAAATGCGCTGAGTAGTTCTGTACGCCGTAATTTTTATATCCATAAATAATCATTACCTTTGTGATGTTTACAAGTATATTATGGCTCCAACATCTTTAGCTTAGAATTATTCAGCGTTGAGCATCATAAACGAAAATAAAACGCTACAAAACGTAAATAAAAAATTATCAATGTAAAATCAAGTTATTTATTGATACATACCTACGCGAATTCATGAAGGTATATGTGTAAAAGTGTACTTAAAATAAGCACGGCCGCGCAAAGAACGAAGAGTAGAAGAGATCTCACGAATTAATTAAAATCGCAAATTTTTGTTTTTGCTTGCGTGAGTGGTTGAGAAAGCCACAGCAACGGACTATTTTGCCAAAAGCACCTAAGAAATTACTTGCACAAGCATACTTAAGCTACAACTGCCTACTTAAGTAGACTACTCATCGACAGGCTGTGTGGGCGAACTTGTGCTGGCAAAGGTTGTTGTCTAAAGATAAATGCGGATAAAGCGAATTGAATTGCTTGAAAGTTATAATGACAACCGTGCCGAATGTATGTTGGCGAAACCAGTCACAGCCGTGTCTGGAGCCAATGACTATGATGATGACTTTGGGAAATCGCAATGGTTGGGGAATTGTGTGTGATTGCTAGAGTAAATAGCCAGTATATGCACATGGGCAAGTTGCGGAAAGAAACTAAGTTAGCTATTATGTTGGGATGGTTTGGAATATATCCATATTATATACATATAAGAAAAGTACCAAGTGATTACTGTGTACTTTTGCCAACAAGTAGGATGCTTCTTTTACCAGTGACCTAGTCTCTCGAATAAAAAATATATATTGTTCTTTCAGGAATAGGCTTAAGAGTAATTTTCTTAGGTTTACTTAGTTCCATGGAATTAGTTTTTGAACAAATTGGCCAGGAATTGCGTTATACTCAAGGTCATGTGAAGAATGTGTGTACGAAATTCGGTGGATTTAAAAAATCAAAATTTTATGAAATCTTACCAGTTATGTAACCGTATTTTGCTAAGAAACAAATATTTTTAATCGACTTATAGTATTCGCTGACGTCTCATCACTTTGAATATCACTCTATAAATTAACTGTACTTTTTTGTGGTCTATAATATTTTATAAGGATGTAATGTGACAAAACTTATGGAAAGGTTACTGATTGAGGTAATAAATGTTAACGAAGAGTGTATTTGACTTAAATCAAAGCGGTGATCAGCTGAACTATTGGGAATGAGCTCTGAAAAAGTTGACCAAAAGTAAGGAAAATTTAAGAGTATTTAAGAGAATAGTAGCTTTTCGTTTACGCTCGGCGAGATTCGCTTTAATTGACGACTAATTGGGTCGCAACTTAATTTTTTTGTCTTCTACCAAACTAGTCTTTATAATTACGAAAGAGTACTGAGAATTTTTGTTATAAAATGCTAGTCAAGCTGAACAGCCTTTGGTTTAAAAATTTTGAGCTTCATATATCATTATCGAAGTAGCCAATGGTAATAATTATATGCGAATCCCAAAAAATACTGGTTAAACAATCTGTCCGATTGTTGTGTTTCGGCTCTTGAGAAATGTCTTCGAACTTTCATCGGGCAACAACCATTATGGTGTATATATGTTTTATCCATTATCACAAATCAGCACGGGTAGTCAAATTCAGCAAACCAATTGACTATATTTAAGAAATATTAGATGACATGCCATGAAAAAAGAGTATTTGAGTTAAGGAGAGTACTCGTAGCTAAGTACAGTATAAAGTATTTCCGAGCAGCTGAGATCGCCTGATCGTAATGCTCACTATAATGAATAAAACAAAGCAAGCCTTTTCGAAATTATTTCTTTAATGAAATCTTTAATTATTAATTATCTTTTATCCGTCATTTTTTTGCGTGCAGTTGATTCCTTAGGGAACTTATTTTCAGCGAAATAATATTTACAAATTAAAAATCTGTTAAATTTTAAAACTCGAGTTGTATTAGATTATTGAAAAAATGTAAGGAAGGAATAAGTTCCGAACATTTTATGTTCTTGCAACAGGCAAAGATAAAAGCTGGAGAAATACCTTCAAGTGTTTCCAAAACAGTAACAGGATTACAATAAAATTTCTTTCTTATTAACTTATATCATTGGTCATAGACTCACATAGCTTCATTATAACATTTTGCATGTCCAATTCCATTCTGGGCTAATGAAAATCATTATATATCTTGTAGTATATGAAAGCTAGAGTAATTCGAGGATCGATATCGCACACTTTAGGCATTAAAGTATAGTATATTTAATATTATAACTTCAATTAATTTTGCTAAGATATCTTACATATTGACCGATATATACGGTATAAAGCCAACCGGAAGTTTAAAAGTCTTATATTATTTTAGTCAATTCTCTTATATAATATATGGTAAGGTATATGGAGGCTAGGGAGTATTTTGACCCGATTTTATTCAGTTGTGGTATTACGACATATCATTACCAGAAAGAGATACTCTGTGAATTTCATTTCATGACCAATATATAAGGTATACATTTAAGCGGATGTTTGAAAATTCGTATGTTGGGTATATGGGGACCCCTGATATCCTGTCACTAAGATTGCTTACATATTGGCCGATATATGCGATATAAACTGATAACTTTAATGAAGTGCACTGTACTGTACTGATTTGTATACTGTAAAGTAAAGAATTTAATGGAATTTTAAAGATTGTTATATAGGAAGTGGCGTGGTTGTCATCCGATATCGTCCATTTACACAGTGTAAGAAAGAATGATTTTATAAAGCCCTTTCCTGACATCTTGGCTGTGAAATTTAATGCTCATAGCGTATTTATGCAGTGAGTTATCGCCGATCGCTCAATACCGACCTCCCTTGGGTGCTAACATATGTAGCAAGTTTTATCTAAATATGTTAATTTTTACTCAAGTTAGAGCTTGCACGTACAGACGGACAGACAGTCACCCGGATTAAAACTTGTTTCATCATCCTGATCATTTACGAGTATATAAACTCTTCATACATTGTATCTATCTCGATCTGTTTTAGATGATACGAACAACCGTTAGATGAACAAAACTATTATACTCTGTAGCAACATGTTGAGAGGGTATAAAAATGAAAGCAAGTTAAACTCTCTTTAATTTTAGATACTATTGTAAAGATTCAATAATGTTTTTCATATATCAAAACATTATTGAATCTGCCCACAACTATTGTTGTTGTGAACTTTTAACTAAATAAATAAATTGAATTGCAAGTACTCTGTACAGTTGCAATACTTTCTAATGCTAAACATCCTGTAAACAAA